CACACACACACACACACACACACACACACACACACACACACACACACTCCAAGCACATTCCTAATTCATGTAGGCTTTGATTAACGTTTCCCTTTTAGTCCACTCTGTTTTCCTTTGTTATTCTTCTTCAAACTCACAACTAATTTATGTTTCAGGCTTGTAGATCCCACTCACATTTGGGTTTGGGAACAGTTCCCTGCATAACTTCTCAAGTACATTTCAGTCCATTCTTGTAATATACCATTCTTTTTATTTTAAGCCTCCTACTCCTGGGTTCAAACAGTATCCCTGCCTGAGTCCCTGAGTGGCCAGGAATACAGGTGTGCACTACTACACCAGGCCGCCTTACATTATTTCTAAGTGTTTTTTTTGTTTTTTTTGTTTTTTTTTTTTCATTTTAAAAAAAGTCACGGGGTTGGGGATTTAGCTCAGTGGTAGAGCACTTGCCTAGTAAGTGCAAGGCCCTGGGTTTGAGCTTCAGCTCCAAAAAAAAAAAAAAGTCACATTAAATAGTTAAGAAATAAAATATATCACCTGGATGTGTTTTATAATGTGTTTAGAATTCTTTTTTGTTTGGTTTTGGTGTTTTTGTTTGGTTTTGGAGACTGGGTTTCTCTGTGTAGCCCTCCAACTCCCTCTGTAGACCAGGCTGGCCTCAAACTCAGAGAGATCCGCCTGCCTCTGGCTCCCTAGTGCTGGGATTAAAGGTATTCATTGCCACCGCCACCACCCAACCACATTATTTCTTTATAACACCATCATTGCCAATAGCAAATTACCTCTAGTTCTTAGCTTTCTCCAATACTGAGGAACTGCTGAGGGCCTTCTCCCAGTAACAACGTTTCCAAGTTCCGGTTTTCACTACAGATGTTTTAGAATCGGGTTTGTAGTGTATTTTTTAAATAATAGTTTGTTGTTGTTGTTTTAAGATTTATTATGTACACAGTGTTCTGCCTGCACACCAGAAGAGGGCACCAGATCCCATTACAGATGGTTGTGAGCTACCATATGGGTCCTGGGAACTGAACTCACGTCCTCTGGAAGAACAGCCAGTGCTCTTAACCACTGAGCCATCTCTCCAGTCCCTAAATAATAAATTCTTTATTCTATCTTGAGACTGCAGTGAATGTGTTTACGTAAAATACTCCATTGTTCTATGTGTCTGTTCTAAACCCTCCTCCTCACTTTCCTCTGTGTGTGAACGTGCTCAACCACAGCCTAGAGACGAACCCCCAGGCCTGGCTCATGTGCAGCTAGTGCTATCTTGTTGAGCTGTATGCATCCAGGGTCATGAAGTTTCGCTTTTAGTGAGTTCAATCGGAGGTTAAGAAATAGATGGCTACAAATTTTTTATTCTTCCTTCCTAGGGAATTCTACTTGCTACTAATACATTTTTCCATTATTTGCTTCTTTGTGTGACAGGTAGTGAACTCTGGTGATGCTGTACAGTTGTGTGGAGGGTGGCTGTCTAATGAAATGGTGGATTATGTTACTGCTTAGGATAGTGGTTTTTTTTTTTTCCCCTGCTAGGTAATTGGAATTACCATTTTTGCAGCAAAAATTACATTTTTGAAGATTGAACTAGGACCTCAACTTGATAGGCAGACATGCCACCACTGAGCTATATCTCCAGTTTAGAAACTTATTTCCAAGGCTAAGAGACTAGTAAATCTTTTTTCTTTTTTTTTTTTCCCCCATGTTTTGTTTTGTTTTTTGAAACAGGGTTTCTCTGTATAGCCAAGGCTGTCCTGGAACTCACTCTGTAGCCCAGGTTGGCCTCAGACTCACAGAGATCCACCTACCTCAGCCTCCTGAGTGCTGGGAGTAAAGGCGTGCGCCACCACCGCCCGGCTGTTTTGTTTTTTGAGACACGTTCTCATTCTGTAGCCTAGGCTGACTGCAAAATCATGGCAACCTTCCTACCTTAGCCTCACGGTGCCAGGATTGCAGGTGTGAGCTACCATAGCTGCTTTATATTAGTTTCTAATTGAAGACTTGAAACATAAAAATTACACTTATTAATGGTGTACCTTGTAATGTTTTGATACATACGTACGTTGTCTACTTCAAATCTGCTTAAACATTTCCTTAAACACTTACTATTCCTTTATGATGAAAACTTTCAAAATCCTGGCCTTTAGAAGTGGGCAGCACATCCTTATTAGTTGTAGTTGCCCTACTACGTAATTAAATCCTTGGCTTTCCTAAAATGATTTAAATGTCAATTCTTTTTCTTTCTTAGGACATGATATTCATTTTCGTGACAAGAAAATCCTGTTGCTGGAAGCGGGTCCAAAGAAAGTACTGGAGAAGTTGTCAGACACTTACAGCAACAGAGTCAGCTCCATTTCCCCCGGCTCTGCCACCCTTCTCAGTAGTGAGTCAGAGAGCCTGTCCCCTGGGTCCTGCCTCCTTTCCTCTCGGCTTTCCCCTAGGGCAGTCAGCAGCCACTAGAGCATGTGAGAGCAAGCTCTCAGTGGGGGAGTGAGCAGGTGAGCTTGTTAGTGGTCATAGTTGACGATGAAGACTGCTGAAGTTGACAGTGTGTCAAGTCTGGTCTGGAGAGGACATCTTGAGACATGTGGATCCATCATGTCCCCTCTTTTATGATGGTAGACTATTATTATTTGGGCTACTACATTCCCTCTAGTCCAAGTCGGTCCTCAAGAGGGCTGGGGAGTCCCATTTTAATGGCCTTTTTGGGGGTGGTGTAGATGAATTGTCTTTCTGTTTGTGCTACATGGTACTCCCAACCTCAAGGCTGTCCTATTTGAGACACTTCTATCTAGAATTCAACTCTTCAGTCACTTTATAGCTCTAGCCTCACCTTCCTGAAACTCGCTTTGGAGACCAGGCTGGCCTTGAACTTGGAGATCTGCCGGCTCCTGCCTCCCAGAGTGCTAGGACTAGAGATATGCACCACCACTGCCTGGCTTCCTTTCTTT